ATATATGTCTATGAATTATTTCTGTTCTCATAATTGTTTGGAGTAAAGACATAGTCATACAGACTTAGTATTACACATATCTAAAATATACACATGAATTGTAAAGAAATTTATTCAATAAAAGAAATAAATTTGTTAAGTGTTTACACAGAAATACCCTATAACATACTAACAATTATTCCATTCCTATAATATGTCAATTATAGTTTCCATTAAGAGAATTTGTTTTGTTTTTTCCAAAACTTTCCACGCGTGGAGAAAATGTATAACGTTTAATCGTAAATTCATTTTAACTTGATGTTGAGTCATTCATTTGGTTTACAGAGATTTCATTGAAATTAACTTAGAAATTGTACAACCGATTGCGAGAAATATGATATTATTTACACGCTTGGTTACGCTGTACGGAGACATGGTTGGGATGTGGAGAACGCTAAAGGATAAACAGCATGAACGATGCGAACTTTCAGTTTAAATATAGCAGTTAATGGAACTAATAATTTCCAATTAATTTTACAATTTCAACACGCACGTTAAATATTAAAAAAATTTTGTCTTCAAACTAGTAAAATAATCTTCAGATTAATTTTAATTTTTGGTTGATAGTTAATAAAACAGAATGTTTGGAAAGATAGCGGTATTTAAACAGTGAATTCGATTAATATCCCGCTAACGATTTAATCAATGCTGATTTGAGAATTTTCGGAGGTTTAATAGTTTGTTCATATTTTCTTCGCTTTGAGTGTTTTAAGATGGCAAAGCAAGGTTTTGACTTAATAAATTTTTGTAGTAACTTCGCCTAATTTTTTAAAAAGATTAGTGTATGCCGATGGTTTTTGAGAAAATAAAATTTCAAAAATAAAAAATATTATTTACTGACTTAATCTAACTATTGAACAGATATCGTCATATTGATGTCAGACACTGCACTCATTAACAGGTCTATATTGTTATTACAATATTAATTTTAGGTATATATGTATATACAAATACACTCCTATAAAGTATACTCGCATTTTTAATTCGCATATTCAACATAATTTCGCAGATTTTCCCCTCACTTGCTTTCATATTCATTTCTAACTCTGGCTGCTGAGCAACAATAAACCATTGGCCATGAAATTTTCGCAAAATCAATACTAATACATATTTACAAACACAAACGTGGTAACACATTTAAGAATTGCCCTAGTAAATATTTCGGAAGGATACTGGCAATCTGTCAAACCCATGCTTTGGCTTCCTGCGTTCGATTTGGTACGTGCCTCTTTCTCACGCAACTTTTTCCCAAACAATAAAGCAAATCACTGTAAAAGCGGCAAATAGTATGCGGCAAGGAATGTGGCCAACTTTTGTGTAGGGACGTGTATATATAATTTTATGTACGTGCTTGTCTATTATATGGTTTTATATACCATGTTAACACAATATCCGCACTGTTTGTTGTTGCTTTGGTGCTTAAACGTTTCGACCATCGTTATGATATGATTAACGAGTGTTTTTATCAACGTAAATCAATTATGTAAGTAGCTTTCGAACAGCTCAAGTTTAATAAGATAAATGACAGCTACAAAGCATATTTGAGAAACATATTTATTAGCATATTTCAACCACTTAAATCGGTGATGCATGCAGCTCACATATAATATATACAAGTATATTATAAATTCATATATATGTATGTGTATATACATGTTTTTCTGATTTCCAATTGAAAAATATTAAAATTGAACGTTCTAGAGACCAACACTCCCTATTCACTCTCCTATATTCAAAAACATAAAACCGCAAACATTAAAAATGCAATTACATGCTTTTTAAAGACATATCTACGTATTTTACTTGATTAGCTTAAGTTATTACAAACAACCAAAGTCCCGAGAACCATTGTTACCTGAATCCGTAGCAATTTTATGATTTTGTTCCGTCTCCTCATGTATCGTCGATATATGCGTGTGTGGATTTGTTGTTATGTAAGGACTGACGATGGATTTTTGTATCTTCGCTGCACGCAAATAACTCTGATTCGCGCCAACTCCCCCATCAGTTGGTTGTATCACCACTTCGGTCTGTCAGAAGAAAGGAATTTTAGCTTTAGTTTAAATTCTTTTGTTTGTGGGCAATGTACGAAGGTGAAATCAATAAATATAAGAAATACTATTTTATGTTTTCTTCTACACCCTTTCGTATTCTTTTACTGTGCTAGTCCAATAACGTTTACCCTATCTCACAATTATCTTAATTACCTTCAATTATTTCCATTTCATTTTTATAAGTTATAATTCTAATGAATTTACTTTTAAAATATTTCGCTGAGCTCACCATGTCATATACTTATATATATTGTACTAAGGTTGCTAATTGTTCTCAGTTTTAGAGATGACGACATACGTTCTATTTTGTAATACGTATGTATTGAAAAGCAAAACAATTTTTACTTTTTAACCAGTAACCAATCGTGTACCTTCTGAAGGAGTCGTAGGATGGAAAGAAAAAGGTTTACCCTTCAGCTTGTGCTTTTCTGAATGTTTGTACTTCCTTAGAAGATTAACTGTGATATGATAATTCAATCATTCCTGATCTTTTCTTAGCTCCAATACCGCACCCAAAGATTTCCGATTTTCCATCTGATATGTTCTTAAATTGGTTTAGTGCTGAACCAGAAAGAGTACCGTTATAAAATGTAGGCGAATATGCACAATACTTGGAAATTTTTAGTGGTAAGGTTTGCAAGGCCACGAATGTATTAGTGTTAATAAGTATGTTTGCATATGTGTATGAACATTATATGTTAGAAATATGACCCGTAGAAAATTACTAATTCTTACCCGTATCTGTGGATTCCCGCAACCAAGTCCTTGCATGTAATTTTGATATTGCGATATCACGCACAGCAGACAGTAAGACTAAGCGGCGATAAAATAAAAAAGATACAATTTGAACAAGGTTAAAGTAGTAAAGAAGAGGCAATAAAATATAGCATAGAAATGACAGAAGAAATACGGGTTGCTTACACATATGAATATATGGGTGTCTAAGAAATGTTTACGCTCACACTTCGTCTACTAATGAAAATGCAAAAGGAATGTGTTTAATATTTTCCTAACGAACAGTCAGCTGATGCCGAACAGCTAGTGGTCCAATAGGTCAAACGAGCAAGTTTGCACTAAACAATAACAAAACTAATGCGTCCACAAGTATTAAATGTGTATTTGTTATTTGTGGTACGTCTGTCAGGGCACCTTCGCCAGTGTCACGTGCAGTGTATATATACAGTATTGTCTACATTTCTGGCTTGGCCGGTGCGAAAATGTGCAGAATTAAAATATATGCTGAACGAATAGTCCTGAAGAGATTCTCCAGGCACTCTTGCATCCAAAAATGTATATGTTTGGTTTGCTTTACATCTCAGAAGCATTATTGGTCAATCCTTTTCTCAAACTGAAGACAGGACTTACTCACGTTCCTGTTAACGGTGAGTCTTACAAGGAAACTTTTTGTGACTTCTTGATATTTATTTGAATACCAATACTCTAACTGTTAATTCGATTCAGTTGGACAGTACAACCAATCGCGGACGAAAAGTTAAAATTTTTGGTGGCAATAACTGATGTGTTCAATTAAACTAATATATATTATTTAAATTAAAAAAATCTGTGATAAAAAGTTAATTCATAAAATAATAATAATATAATTGCAATTATGTACAACTAATTTGTTTATCTACCAGAGACATTATAATTACATTTTTATACTCTCGCAACAAAGTTGCTAACGAGAGTATTATAGTTTTGTTCACATAACGGTTCTTTGTAAGTCCTAARACTAAAAGAGTTAGATATAGGGTTATATATACCAAAGTGATCAGGGTGACGAGTATAGTTGAAATCCGGATGTCTGTCTGTCCGTCCGTCCATCTGTCCGTCTGTCCGTCCGTCCGTGCAAGCTGTAACTTGAGTAAAAATTGAGATATCATGATGAAACTTGGTACAC